AATGTGTAAACGTGCTCATAATTTGTCTAATGAAGTTCAATATAAAATATTCAATATTGCATTAACTATTAGAAGTTATTGTCCACGAATTTGGCAAAATTTCTGTTCTTGTTGAGTTTTTATTGTTAGGAAATTGCTTTTCGTCGCAATTTCATAAAAAAATGGCCAAACGTTGTCTGCGTCAATACCACAATAATATGTTTATATTGTTCGCAGTCAACAGTGATAAGAAAAAGTCACAGCCCGATATAAAAGAAAACAATTTTTCGTACTGTACGAACATATTTGATCATTATTCATTTTTGATCACTATTTCTATATCAATATTAATGTTAGCCGTTGACAGTCGCCGACCGACATTCAATGTTTCTTCTCCCAACTTGTCATTTAAGATTGCCAAAGTTAACTTAAGGCTAGTAATAGTTTAGGCTACCAAATACACTATTCAGCTATACCCTACTAACATCACTTCAGTCTACTGACTGAACTGACCATAATCAATTCAATGACGTTGGTGATGTAACAATATCTCATTGGTAAATTTCATCACGAATCAACGCCAAAATGCGATTTTTTTGTTTTCCCATACCACTTGTGTTTATACAGGAAACACGCCGAGTAAAATTTATAAAATGTGCTTATTACGATGTGGAAATGAAAGACTGGAATTCCGATGGATGTTCGTATGTCACTGGATCAAATCCGCCAAATTGTACTTGCAATCATTTAACGAATTTTGCTGTATTAGTAGTAAGTTATTGCATAACGTTATCTAGTTTTAATCTAGTTTCACAGCCATATTTATACAGATTCCGGAAGGTAACTTTTGTTATGTTGTCTTTTGTATATAATAGGAATTTAGCGTGTTTATGTTTTAATCATGACTGATAGACTAATCTCCCATTTCTGGCATGCCCCTCACATTAACGATTAATTGTAAAACTTGAACGTTGATTAGTTATATTTTTTGAAAATACAGGCATATTCTGAATTATATATTCTACGGATCTTTACTTCAACACTTAGTATATATATAATAAATTCAGTATGGATTGCTTAGGTTCGGTGCTGAATAGCATTTGAGATATTGTAATTTAATATTGAAGGAATGTTTATTGGGCACAATAGTCGTGACATTATTATATTTTTAGAAAACAGCCAATTTGACGGATCCATATACCTTGGAAATATTCGGAAAGGTCGGATGTTCACTTTCTGTGATCGGACTTGCTTTGATGTTGCTGTGCATTTGTTATTTTTCGTAAGTAATGAAATAAAAAGGCCTTTAGGATTTTTATTTTTATGTATTCTGCTATTGTCTTCTGTTGTATCCAGTAAGTTTCCCAGCTTTTCCTTTTAGGGGTGTTGGGTTGGTGGTCGAAATTTAAGATGTGGTAAAACTTTTGCTATTAGGTATAAAACATATAAAAATGTGTTATTTGTTTGGCAGACTATGTACACTGATAAATATGCCATATTCTATATATTTAAATGCATTTGTATATTTAAGTCAGAAATAACAACATTGTGGTATCACACACGTGGAGGGGGGTGGGGTTTGGGGAATAAATATATATATACAGTCAAATACTTCATTTTCAGATCTTTAAGAAAGAATTTGACGAATCAAATACACTCCGTTCTCGGATTCAGCCTCTTAGTAGCATACGTTTTGTTTCTGACGGGTGTTGAGCAGATAAATAATAGAAATGGCTGTATTACTATTGCAGCATTCCTACATTTTTTTTTACTATCTGCATGGGGATGGATGATAGTTGAATGTGCCACTATGTACAAGTAAGAAATAATTATAATATTGTAAAACTATTCTAACTTTGTATAACTTTCTGTGGATATGTAACGTCGTTATTTGCACGTTAAGTCGACATTTGGTTGTCGTTGCAATAACAGTTGTAAAGGTAATTTTGATCGTCTTGTTCAATTGCCGGCTTTTATAAAAATGTGTTAACTCTTGTGGCGCGTATAGTAGGCACTGCTAGTGCTGTGTCCAGTTTTTTCACAATTATTAGACAACGTAAAACAGGAAACAATATTTTCAGGTTTTTGACAAAAGTTACGTGTGATGTATGGTTTGCAACATTTGGTGCTTGAGTTTAAAATGATTTCCCACAATTGATAATGGCATTGTTGGCGCAGAGCCTTGATTAAATCTTAATTGTGGAGCGCAGACTCTGCCCACATAGGGTGTACGGATGGCCAATACCAATACTCTCGACGACCAGGTTGCACTCCCAAAAAGACGCGTACTATCACTGTATCAGCATAAGATGTTTTATTTTCTTGTGATGTGTTGCAAACAGTGTAAAACAATACGAACAAACAACGTAGTACGAACAACAATACAGCAGTACGAACAACAATACAGCAGTACGAACAGATGCACAATACAAAGAAGTACGGTTTTCTGAAATAACATAAATATAATAAATACACAAATAATAACAAGATCGGGGCAGTAACGTATCAGTAGGCCTATACTATTGTAAACAAACCCTAAATATCTTTGTTACGTCACACAATCACCTAATGACCAACTATGGCATCACTAACGGTTATAATAAATAAACACACAAATTACCTCTGCCGGCACTTTCAAGGCCTGACAGGAAAACAAATACAAACCATGTAAAACTTAGAATACAAAACTATATGTATAAACTTACTTGACGTTGTGTCCTCAAGGGTCGTCAAGCAGTAACTTGAACATTAAATCACAATAACTTGACTGAATTACTTAGCAATATTACAATAAAAACTGTGAGGAATATCAATAATACACTATTATTAGCAGTACAAATAAATACCGTACATTTACTAACACTACAAGCCTAAGTCGTTCACTAATTAATCAATTATAAACCCTAAAATAACACTCTCAGACCGACGTCAAAACAGCCATCAGCCAGAAACTTCCAGAATCCTGCAGCGCGCGCGGTCCCCTGACGTCACTTCCACAAAGTCATTGTGGTGCAATAACCAAGCATTCGATAAGCTGGTCCATGGCGCCAACTTGCGGGAGAAATGATTTTACTTCAAGATATTGGCGGTAACACCCTGGCCCCTTGGAAATTGAAAATTTGTGTCCACATACACCAATTTACAGATTTCCACACACACATTCAAACAAATAACAAACACACAAAATATAACGAAATTGTGTCATGCAAAAGAAATTTCATGCAAAAGCTAACTTGCTAATTACAAGCATGCAATAAAATAAGCTTTGTAACAGGTCTTTGAAGAACAGAATATTGGGTCTGGACACTAACAGATCGAACAAGGCCCTCCTTGCCAGGGAAAGTCTTGATAACTCTACCCAACAGCCAGGTTTCGTGGCAAGTTATGATCCACAATGAGAACAATGTCATCCTCGCTCATATTACGTTGAGGTTTGTTCCACTTTTTTCTTTGTTGTAAAAGAGGTAGATACTCCTTTCTCCATCTTTGCCAGAAAATATCTGCCAAATACTGGACCTGTTTCCAGCGTTTCCTCGAATACACATCCTTTTGTTCAAACAAACCTGGTGGAAGAACAGGTTCTTGTTTTAATAACAATAATGAATTTGGAGACAGTGGTGTCAAGTCATTTACATCACTTGAAACTGTTGTAATTGGACGTCCATTTATAATAGATTCACATTCACACATTAAAGTGGATAGAGCCTCATCGCTTAAAGTTTGTTCCCGACAAATTGAATTAAATACCTTTCTGACAGTCCGAATTTGTCTTTCAAAAACACCACCATGATGTGAAGCGGAAGGTGTTTGAAATATCCATTTTATATTTTTCTGAAGCAGAAATCATGAACTTGCTTCTGATTCCAACATTTTATTGCTTGACGAAGTTCATGTTCAGCGGCCACAAAATTTGAACCATTGTCACTTCGAATTTCCAACACTTGACCTCTACGAGAAACAAATCTCCTTAAAGCCATTATAAATGAGTTCATGTCCAAATTTTGAGCTATTTCCACATGTACTGCGCGTGTAGTTAACATGTGAAGAGAACCCCATATCGCTTAATATCACTTCTTCCTTGACGAATGAAAAAGGGCCCAAAACAGTCCAAAGCCACATATGAAAATGGTGGTTTATCAGGAGTTACTCTATCAACAGGCAAATCCGACATTTCTTGATATTCGGGTTTACGCTGCTTTCTTCTGCACAAGACACAATTGTTGATAATTTTCCTCACTAATGAAGTCCCCTTTACAATCCAATAGTTCTGCCTAATTTCTGCAAGAACATATTCTCTTCCATTGTGTCCAGTTGTCCTATGAATATAATCAACCATCAGGGATGCAATAAGACTGTCTTTTGGTATAACAATTGGATGCTTAGCATCATAACTAATTGGAGCATCTTTGATTCTGCCTCCAACACGAAGAATATCATTTTTCAAGAAAGGACGCAGCGAAATCAAAGTGCTTGATTTTGGAATTTCTTGATTATTTGACAGCAAACGTATTTCTTCGCAGAAATATTTTGATTGTTCATATTTGATTATCTCCAATTCCGCATTTCGTAGTTCAGTAACAGAAAGTGGTTGAATACGATTTTCTTTTGGCAGTTAGAAGGCAATTCATTTGCATTAAGTTTTGAAACAACATATTTTTACCTCGTAATATCCAGGCAAAAGCTTTCTTCAGACGAAACCAGTCTGAATATTTTGAAATTATACGATCTAGGACCGATTTTTCACTTGCTGTATTTGAAAAACATTGTATCGATTCTTTTTTCACCTCAAGATTATCCGTAGAGCAATTGTTCATAAAATCGGGCTGTAAAGGCCATTCCTCAGCAGCTTGCCACAAAAAATCAGGACCAGATTTCCAGTATTGGCAATTCAAAAACGCATCAACTGAAAGTCCCCTTGAGGCAACATCTGCTGGGTTCAGTTGTGAAGGCACATAACGCCATTGTTCAATTTCAGAGGTTTCTTTTATCAAGTTTACTCTATTGGCCACAAAAGTTTTAAATACTTTATCTGTATTTGCCAGGTATCGAAGAACAGTTGTACTGTCGGTCCAAAAATATGAAGCCGAAATTGGAAGTTTGAGTTCCTTTTTTAGAAATGCATCATTTTTAGCAGAAATTGTTGCTGCACAAAGTTCGAGTCGCGGTATTGTTGAACCATTTAAAGGGACAAGTCTGGTTTTTCCACTTATAATAGCACAATGAACTTGTCCATACGTATTTGTAATTCTAATGTAAGACACAGCACCATATGACTTTTCAGACGCATCTGAAAAATGATGAAGTTGTATATCGATTATTTTACCAAAATCTTTTGGTGTATAGCATCTCGGTACATTGAAATTCTTTAATTTTGGTAAATCAGAAAGCCATTTTGACCATTCTTTCTTCAATTCTGGTGGAATAGGATCGTCCCAATCAAATTTCTTCCTACATAAATCTTGAATCAAAACTTTCATAGGTTGAAGAACTGGCTGACCGAAACCAAGAGGATCAAAAATAGAATTAATAGTTGACAACAATCCTCTTTTTGTAGCAGGTTTATCCTTATGTTTGACACGAAAGCACAAAGTATCTTGTTCTACATCCCAAATCATGCCAAGCGCCTTTTCCACTGGCAGGTCATCCACTGAGAGATCCAATCCTTTGACATCTTTCGCACGATGCTCTTCCGGAATTGACAGCAAAACAGCTCGATCATTACTGACCCATTTTGTTATTTCAAATCCACCTTTGGATACTAAATTTCTTACATTCTTGACATGATCTATAGCTTCCTCAGCATTGGGTTTTGAATCCAAAAAATCATCAACGTAGAAAGCATCATAAACAGCATTCACAGTGCTTTCACTAAAATCTTTATTATCTTCAGCAGTCCTTTTCAAGGCAAAATTGGCACAACTGGGTGAGCAGATTGTACCAAAAAGAAATGAAGTCATTCTAAAGCAGGCCACAGGTTGTGAGACATCGCCATTGCGCCACCAAAGAAATCTCAAAAAATCTCTATGAGGTTCGGAAACTTTCACTTGGTGAAACATTGCTCGGATGTCTCCTTGAATTGCAACGGATTGTTTTCGAAAACGAGCCAGAACACCAACCAAATTATTTGCAAGGTCTGGCCCCTGTAACAGAACGTCATTCAAACACAGTCCAGAAAATTTAGCTGAACAATCAAATACAACACGAAGGCTTTTCTTTTCTGGGTGGCGCACTCCGTGGTGACTAAGATACCAAGTTTTACCATCACATTCCCCTGAATTATTGACCTTCTCTGCATAACCATTATCAATCATATCATTTACAAAACTTTTGTATTCATTGTAGAAATCCGGTTCTTTTAAAAATCGTCTTCTGAGATATTCTAATCTTTGTTCTGCATGACTTTTGTTTTTTGGCAAAATCACATTAGGATTTTTAAATGGAAGATCAATTTCATAATGTCCATCCGTTGTCAAATGAATAGACTTGTTCACTCTTTCCATGAAAATTTCTTGATTAGGGGAAAATTCTGGTTTTTCGTTTTGTATCGAATCGACCACTTCAGTGCACATTTTACAAAGTGGGTGCACACTAGATTTGAAAAAAATTAGAATTTGATCTTTCAACTTTCTTAGTTTTGGGAGGACAGCTAATCATCCATCCAGCAGGGCATCTCACAGCAAAATATTCATCTGGCCCGTGTACAATTTCCAATGGCTTATGTAGAGCAAAATTATCTTTTCCTATCAGCAAGCCAACTTCTGATTTAGCCTGGGAATTACCACATCCTTGAATTCATGAAACTGATCCACATCCTTCTGTGTTGGAATATTTGAAACATCAATATCGATACATTTATTAGAAAACAGTTGACCCAATGCAATAAAATCAGATTCATCAAAATGGGATAGCTCAATGTCGTTAATAACAGAGCTTTTCTTTTGTTCAGTCACATTTGAAATAGTACGAATATTTAAATTTGTTTCCTGACCAGTGGCATTCAATCTTTGCATGAGCGCTTCACTTATAAAAGAACATGTTGAGCCAGTGTCGAAAAAGGCATTTGTTAACACAACATCATTCTGTCCCTTCACACGTACCTTGACTGGAATTACGTTTAATAACACTCTTGCTTCACTGGCAGAATTCACAAACGCACTAAATTTATTTTCTTCTCTGTTTTCATTAGTATTTTTTGATACAGAAGCATCATCAGCAGGCTTATGATGTTCAGATTGATCATCCGCATTTACATTATCTGGGGGGTGCAAAAGCGTAGTATGCTTTCGCTTACAATTGGAACTCTGCATGGGTTCTCGCGTCTGCACTGCCTTGACTTCAGTGCCCTTTTTGTAGACAAGAAAAAATAATTTCAAATCCTCACAAATCTTTCTCTGTCCGCATGTTTCATGTTCCTAAACTCTGACATTGATTCAGGAAATGAGTGCCACTGCATTAAAACATTTAGGAATTGGTTGTCAGCAGCGGAGACAGTTGTAGTAAAATATGACTTGTGTTGCTTTCATTGGTTTATTTGCAATTTCTCTGGGTTTTTGGACATTATTTGTTTCAGGATTAGAAAGGTTTGACAATTCCCTCGTTTTCTTACGCACATATGACACAAGATGTGCTAAGTCAAGTCCTTTTCTTTCACATGAAGAGTATCATCCACCAAAGTTCGCCAACCTGGCCTCCAAACTGATGGCATTCTCCACGATATTTTATCAATGATCATCAAAGACAGACCTTTTTTTTAATACCTTTTAATGTATTTTCACATGCAATTAATTCAGCAGCAAACATTGTTAAAGCTTCCAGGTCATTGGTTCTAAGTTGCGGGCCCTCTATAATAGAATTCAAACATGCCTGTTCAATTTGCAATTTATGGCCATAAGTTTCTGCGAGTAATTTCAACGCTTCATCATAGCATGCCGAACCTTTATGTTGGCATCCTTTTACTAGAGCACGAGCAGTGCCTCTTGTGTATTGTAACAGATAAACAAATCTTTGCTTTGCATTCTGCACCTTTGCAGCAATAACGGTATCAAAAATGTCAATAAAGTCGTGGTATTCACCAGGATCACCAGAAAAAACTGGAGGTTCTGTTGGAGGTAAATTTGCTTGCTGGGGCACATAAATCACTTGTGGTGATAATTGTATTGGTACCTGGCTTGGCTGGGGTATATTAATTTGAGTAGCTTCTTCATTAATAATTGGCATTGTCAGTCTATTGATGTCACCATTGGCTGCTTGTGACATGTTATAAATTGGAATTGTACCTGTATTTGAACTAAAATTGCTAGCAAAATCAGTGCAAGAATAAGTCATGCAATTACTGGTAGGTGCATTATTACTGGTAGTAGAAGCAGCAAAATAACTTGAGCTAGCAGTACAGGTAGGGCATGCAGCATATGAACTCATACGAATAGGCTGAATTTGATTTGCAAGCACATTTACTGGATTCACAGCAGAATTTATTTGTTTAGGAATTGTTATTGAATTATTAGCATTATGAGATGCAGTACTAGTCACAACCATAATTCATTCACACCAAGCACACTGGTCCGTATGTGGACAAGCAATTTCAAAACCTGGAAGGATGAATAAATCCGACATACCATTGATCCACACCAATAGCAGGCACGGAAAGCGAAACATCCCCGCAACCGTGTAACTTGGCTGATTTGCAGTTTTAACATGGTCTCAGATGGCCACAGTAGATTGAATATTATTTCCAATTGTAGCAGGAGATCAGATCTTATTTCAGGTGGAGATACATTCTGTATCTCGTTACTATTTGACACATTTGTACAGGTGCCAAGTAACAGATCACTTCATTTGTATCGGAAATAAGCAGGAAGGTCAAAAGGTAACCCCCTCTCTGCCATAGCTTCCGTAAAGTCAGCATCCAATTCTAACTGGTGCGCTGATCTCTACGTTTTAGTTCATTTAGTTCTCTGGTCTTTGCGTTTTTGGGAAACTTTCCTTTTCGATTTGGCGCTTTCTTCCTTAACTCTTCTTCTTCCATTCGAATCTTTTCCTCCTGAATTGACGTTTTCGTTGAATTTCTTCGTTTTTCTCGTATTAACTTTTCTTCTTCAATTTGACGTTTTCGTCTTATTTCTTCATTTTCCCATTCTCACTTTCTCGCTCCATCTGCTTCTTCTTGAGAAATGGAGTCTTGTAGCTGAATCTTTTCCAGCTCAATCTTTTTTTGTAAATTTAATTTTCTTGCTTTGGTAAAATCTTTGGATTTGAGAGTCACTGTAAGTGGATACCCGTGACATTACCGATGACGCAGTTCGGATACTTCGAGATCGTAACGAAACCCCCAACACTGAAAACTTTTGATTTTTGTGAACACTGTCACGTGATTGAGCACTATATTTTGATTTCGCTCTTGTGGTCATTTTGTGAACATTCATTTGCTTATCTTCGGCATTGAAAGATGCTACGGACTTCCCTTGTTTATTTGTTTCATTTTCTATTTGGGAAACCGAATCCACATCAGACGATCTTCGAAAAAGGTCATGAATCGAGCCACTACCGGAACCAACAGGAGATAATATTTTTTCAGCAGCGACAACTTCAGGGTCAACTGCAGGCTCTTTCATTTGTGATGACAGTGTTATTGGAACTTGGGATGGTTCTAAATCATCAGATTCTTGTTCTAGCACCATTTCTTGTGCATTTTGAAAACTTTGTACAGCTTCTTCAGTGTATTGAACTGGATTTGACTCAGCCATAATTTTATGTCCACTAGTAAAGGCCTTTGAATTTCACAATTGTCAATACTTTGTAGAAACGTCAAAAAACTTTATGTTGGCGCAGAGCCTTGATTAAATCTTAATTGTGGAGCGCAGACTCTGCCCACATAGGGTGTACGGATGGCCAATACCAATACTCTCGACGACCAGGTTGCACTCCCAAAAAGACGCGTACTATCACTGTATCAGCATAAGATGTTTTATTTTCTTGTGATGTGTTGCAAACAGTGTAAAACAATACGAACAAACAACGTAGTACGAAACATACAAGTACGAACAACAATACAGCAGTACGAACAGATGCACAATACAAAGAAGTACGGTTTTCTGAAATAACATAAATATGATAAATACACAAATAATAACAAGATCGGGGCAGTAACGTATCAGTAGGCCTATACTATTGTAAACAAACCCTAAATATCTTTGTTACGTCACACAATCACCTAATGACCAACTATGGCATCACTAACGGTTATAATAAATAAACACACAAATTACCTCTGCCGGCACTTTCAAGGCCTGACAGGAAAACAAATACAAACCATGTAAAACTTAGAATACAAAACTATATGTATAAACTTACTTGACGTTGTGTCCTCAAGGGTCGTCAAGCAGTAACTTGAACATTAAATCACAATAACTTGACTGAATTACTTAGCAATATTACAATAAAAACTGTGAGGAATATCAATAATACACTATTATTAGCAGTACAAATAAATACCGTACATTTTACTAACACTACAAGCCTAAGTCGTTCACTAATTAATCAATTATAAACCCTAAAATAACACTCTCAGACCGACGTCAAAAAACTTTATGTTGGCGCAGAGCCTTGATTAAATCTTAATTGTGGAGCGCAGACTCTGCCCACATAGGGTGTACGGATGGCCAATACCAATACTCTCGACGACCAGGTTGCACTCCCAAAAAGACGCGTACTATCACTGTATCAGCATAAGATGTTTTATTTTCTTGTGATGTGTTGCAAACAGTGTAAAACAATACGAACAAACAACGTAGTACGAACAACAATACAGCAGTACGAACAACAATACAGCAGTACGAACAGATGCACAATACAAAGAAGTACGGTTTTCTGAAATAACATAAATATAATAAATACACAAATAATAACAAGATCGGGGCAGTAACGTATCAGTAGGCCTATACTATTGTAAACAAACCCTAAATATCTTTGTTACGTCACACAATCACCTAATGACCAACTATGGCATCACTAACGGTTATAATAAATAAACACACAAATTACCTCTGCCGGCACTTTCAAGGCCTGACAGGAAAACAAATACAAACCATGTAAAACTTAGAATACAAAACTATATGTATAAACTTACTTGACGTTGTGTCCTCAAGGGTCGTCAAGCAGTAACTTGAACATTAAATCACAATAACTTGACTGAATTACTTAGCAATATTACAATAAAAACTGTGAGGAATATCAATAATACACTATTATTAGCAGTACAAATAAATACCGTACATTTTACTAACACTACAAGCCTAAGTCGTTCACTAATTAATCAATTATAAACCCTAAAATAACACTCTCAGACCGACGTCAAAAACAGCCATCAGCCCGAAACTTACAGAATCCTGCAGCGCGCGCGGTCCCCTGACGTCACTTCCACAAAGTCATTGTGGTGCAATAACCAAACATTCGATAAGCTGGTCCATGGCGCCAACTTGCGGAAGAAATGATTTTACTTCAAGATATTGGCGGTAACAGGCATACACATTCATGTTCAAGTAAAATAAAGTACAAGCCACTTTGTCGGCATTATGGTCGGTTGTCTAGGTCGAAGCAACAAAATACTGTTAATGTCATTAGTTATATCTAGCTTTATGAAATGATAAAATACTTGGAAAATAATTAACAGAGCTGTTATTTGGTATACGAAACTCTTCTAAGGGTTAACAATGAAGATGCAATTTTTCATCCATTTGAACACTTTTTCCAGGAAGCTTGTTTCAGTGTTTGGTTCAACGGGACCCTACTACATAGTGAAGGCTGCAGTCATGGTATACAGTGGTTCCGCTCTCATTGCTGTTGTCACTGTGGCTGTCTCTGTAGGTTGGTTTGATAGAAAATTTCTCAAGGATTGGAACCCTATGACAGAAGGTAATCACAAAATGGATATATAGAATAACTTTGTCGTGATCATGATCAAATTATTTTTGATTATGTAGTTAATAATACAGTGTTATTGATGTCGTGCAGTGGTTTTCTACCTTCTTAATTTCGTAATCCCTTGACTGTTCTGACGAATCCTTACGGTGTAGCGGAACGCCGGTTAAAATCCACTGGTACAGTGTAACAGTTTTATGACTGATTCTCTTTCCGATACACAGGTATAACGTAAATATCAGATCAATATTTAGATCAATCTTCTGCTGATTAATATTTTTTTTACCAAACCCATAGGCTGCCAATGCGTGTGCAGACGTTGATGCTCGGTGTTGATTGGAAATATACAAATAAATACTCTACTCAGTTGAACTATTTTTTTTTGCAGAAGATGAAATGTTTGCTCCTTCTAAATACATAAGTCAACGATTATGCTGGCTTCATAATTATTCATTAATTGTTGGATTTTTGATGCCTATCGCTATAGCTCTCGTTATAAATATATTTGGCTTCATCGCAATTTCAAAAGCAATTACTTGTGATCGGTCGAAGGTAATGTATATACCTACCTCAGTTATGAACTGGCCAATCTTTGAATTCTTAATAAGATAATAGATCAACTACTAATCGCTTTTGATATATATATATATACAGTGGATCATCATTGTGTGTTTCAATTTTAGTTTTGTGTGATCTTGAAAAAATGGACTAGTTCTATAAAAAATAAGCAATGGTACTTTGAACTCATGAAAGAGTGACAAATAGTTAGCAGGGCGGAAGTTTACACAATTGTGAACTTGTGCTTTTACTATACTTTTAGGCAATATTTAGAGTTGAATTGAGAAGCAGCCTGTTTGAAAACATCGACATATCTTCTTTCGTATGAAAAGAATACATTAAAGCTTTTTTTCTATGCTTCTCACATCCAAAATTGGATTGTGGCCTATTTAATGAGTTTTTACTTTTCTAGATACTATTAAAGTCAAACCAAAAGAAAACTTCACTTCAGGAGGCAAAGACTTATCTTACAAGAGCCATTATCTTCACTTTTTTACTAGGACTAGCATGGCTATTTGCTATTCCTTTAACAATGTCCGATGATGATAAAACGAACATTGTGTTTGGATGGCTGTTCTCTGTCGCCAACTCATTGCAGGTGAAAAAAATAACAACTTTACTGTTTTATTTAAAATTCATCGCAAACAAGATTTTAGTTTAGTGAATAGTAGTTTGCTCTATTAGGAAGTTTGATGGTTTATTAATATATAATCGGATGGAGATTGTGTATAAAATAAAAAATAAAAAGCTCAACGATATCAATAATTTGGATTTTCTGATTTAAACTAAAATATATATTTCTTACAACCAGGTCTTTTGTAAAATATAAGTTTTAATGAGATGCTCAACTTTTTGAAATTGAAGAATGTAATAAGGCGTGTAAGTATAAATAAAATACTGGAATTGTTTTTACAGGGTTTCTTTGTCTTTTTTCTATTTTGCATTCGAAGAAAAGATGTTCGTGATTTATGGACAACAGAAGTATTAAAACTATTATGCATAAAAAGAAAAGATAGTCATGTGAAAGGTGATACTATTAGAACTTTAGAGTTGAGTCTGATACAATCGGTCTGTAAGCTCTTGATACATTTTTGATATTACAAATAACAGGTCAGCTGAAGATACATGGAACACCAGGAACAAGTACACCACAGACTAAAAAGACTGATTTAACAGTAACATACACGAAGACTAACAAAGTTAAAGTTTGATACCATAAGTTAACAAAACAGCGAAGGGCTGTTATGAGTTGAAAGCTTCAATTCCAAATGCCTGTTTCATAGATCCAGTCAAGTTTGTCGCAAAACAAAACTATGGCTGAAGAAATTAATTAAAACATATTCAATGCGAGCTGTAATACTGATATTGATACTCGGACTGACTTGGTTATTTGTTATTCCATTAGAAATATCGGACGATGTTACCACAAATATCGTTTTGGGTTGGCTTTTCTCAATCACAAATGCGCTACAGGTGAAAAATTCATATATAGATCGTTTTGCTAATTTTTCTAATTTTTAGTTGCTGTTTCTGTTAGAAAAAATTCGCTTTTCTCCGCAACTAGTGCAACAATCGTTTTCCAATTTCCAGTTATCAATGATGGAAAAGTCGCTCGAAAGCTATTTTTAATTTGTCTGGGTAATGTGGGACTCGATATTTGCCTGCGAATGGTATGTAATACAGTCACAACATTATAATATCAAAGATGGTGCGTATCAATATTTTCTCTTCAATTCCTTGCGATAAAGTCATACAGTTTTCCCTTTGTATTTTCAATAAAAACATGCAGCAATAATATGATTCACTTTGTTCACTCCCACTTACCTCATTGTATTTACCAATACTATGTAAGCAACACCAGTGTAATATTAACATAACCATTGTTTTTCTTCCAGGGTTTATTTTTTTTTCTCTTCTGTATTTAGTGGGTGGACTGGTGAAAATATGGAAATAAATATTGAAATGGAAAAATGGATATCTATCATCTAATCTATGTGTTCAATAAAATCTCGTGCGCTATGGTCTGGTTGTAAAAGCGTTAGAATTGGGTTCAAATCCCATGCTCATCACCTCATACAGGGTGTAATAAATTGTGTAGGCCATGCTGAACACAATGATTTTGGTATTTCTATAATTTAATACCTCATAGTAGATGGATGTACAAAGCCTTGTATGTAGTGTATGAAAATTACAGGCTTACTTTATTTGACACTTTAGTGGACCTATGGATCGTTTCAATATTATGTTGTTGTTGTTGTTCTTTAACACGTTATGAAAAAGTCGTTTTTCTCTTTGATTACTGGACCAATTGCTTTGAAATTTTTAGTGGTTATTAAAGATTGATTTTCTGCCAGAAGGCTTTTACTTTTATTTTTTAATATTGGAAACGGAGTGGACCTAGGGATCGTTTTATGTTTTTTTGGAAACCTAGTAGAAAACCTAAAAAGTCGCTTTTATGCTGGCACTCTTCTTCTTGTTCTTTTGATCACATGCTCATCGAACGTCGGTTGTGTGTCACAAAGTTCTTGCTTTCCTAACGGGGAATGGCGTACAGCGCCGTAGGTACCGGTAGCGTCAAAGGTGAAGACTCCTTCTCTCTGATTAACGTGTCCATATATTTGACCGTTGCTCTCTTGTTCCTAACAGGTATTGTAAAATGGGCCATGGCTTGTATTAGGTATTCATTTTAGGTATTCAAAAGAACTAAACAGCCTATTTCATCACCATAGAGCCTGACAAAGGACGGAAATATCGCCGGTACCTAATACAAGAAACAGACAAAAAGATTTTGCGACAGTAAATTTCAAAACAAATAGTAGCAAAAGTGAAGCACAACAGTTGCAAACTGTCGTGTAGTAATTTACAATCCTAAAAGTGATGTCATCGATTCCATTATATTGCGTAATTCTTATTTCATTTTTTGAGTATCGACAAACAACAGTAATTGAGTGAAATATAATAGCCAGACAGTGTGAACAAGGCATTTAAATAAGATGAGAAAAACTTTTAGGAAATGCATTGCTTAGTCAGTTCATAAAAAATCGTCACAATGCTTGAAATAGCGTATTCATTGCCGGAAATTTCCCTGATTTTAGCCCTGCTACGCAAGAAATTTCTAAAGTCGTGTAAATTTCAAGTTGTCATGAATGAGCTGTTGATTTAAAACGGTAGGTATTGATACAAACATCTCTTCCTGGAATTACGTGTAATAGACCTTATTCAATAAAAACCCATCCTACGCGCAAAAATAAAAGTGATGTAAAAAAAACAATTTTAACATTAGCTCTTATGGGGAATGTGATCACCAGAGCAGAAATTTGCATTTTTTGTAATTTTCTAGATATCTTTCATTGTATAGGTGAGCAGTTTTGAGGATAGAATATTTTTCACATCTTTTTTGATATTTTTATCATGATAAACATGGTCTAGATTTTTGATAATCGTTCATTGAAATTGTAATGAGCGCGGTGTTTCCGATGACGTCATTCTCACTAGACCATGAAATTCTACCAACGCGCCGTGCTCTGTGGAAACTGCTTGCGATAACAGAATAGTGGAATACCGGTACCGGGACCACAACTGGCGTTCAACAAAAGACCTATTTTGGTTTTTATTGGATGTTATATATTTCATGAATTCCATGCAACTATGTACATTCCTGGTACACCTTTCAAAATCCAATGGCCTAACTCAGTTCATATGTTGAGTCTTGTTGACACCATGTACCTATCCCAAAATTGGTGATGTTCAGGGCTGGATTTAGACCATGAGAGGCCCTTTCATATTTTTGAGCTCAGAATTTCTCTCTAAACAACACCACATGTCATTGCTTAAAATTTAAAAATACGAGTGCATTAAATTTTTCATTCTCCCCATTCATGGGTGTGAATTTTTTATTAAAGGAATAAAAATTTACTTGAGGCATCATTGTTTCCAATTTATTTGATTAAACAACCGCTACAGCCATACTTTAACATAGAAACGTCCAGCAGAATGCGCATAATAATAATTGCCCTTATTATGATGCTGTGGTTGAAACCAGTTGTGTACAGAATTTTCTACTCTGAAAAGCTTGATATATATATATACGTTTCGTAGGGTTTAAACTTGTCAAGTTTTCAAAAGAATTACAAACTTCGAAACCGAATTTCTAGGCTCTAGGTTTCAGCCTGCCTAGTCTATTGGTAAATTCAGCCCTGGTGATGGTCCCTACAGCAAATTTCTGGCCCTAATCACTCAGCAGACTGAAATAAATGGTTTTCAGCATTTATTAGCAAAGATAGATATTTTAATTGAACATATAGTTTAACTTAAAGCCTGTATAATGATATTATAAATATATGTCTCATTATTACTGCATTGTGAGAAGGCCTTCCACACTATCAAGCCTATAAGGTTTTAGCGTCTTCCAATGTCTCAGATGGAAACTTCAGTCTTCATTTCGCATATTCTTTTCATTGATGCCATTAGCATTTGAAGCTTGACTGATTCCAATGTACCTTTTCCATTGTTGTTTTTGTTAAATTGTTCAAGCATCTTAATTAACTGTTAATCTTAGTAGCGAACATGGGGGGCAGGGGCTTTTTAACCTAGACCGGTATTGTACCATTATAGGTTGGAGATATTCATCTTTTTTGTATACCGGTACCGTACAACTTATCCTGCCTATTGGCAGGCTGGCCAACATTTTTGTTCGTAGGCCTATTTCAGTATTTACTGAATAATTTAGTTTTCACCTCTTGCAGCCTTGGTACGGTACCGGTAGTTTAAATAACACGTCAGCATGCCTTCAGTAAATGATTGCTAGCGGTACAGGTATAAATGCGTAAAACCAGTAAACAAACGTGATAGAAATGGTATGGGTTATAGATTGTCAATGTTAAACGCTTCCAGTACCGGTACCGTACCCGAAGCGACATCAGCGCCGCATTTGCAGCGCATATCCCACAGAGCAAGGCGAGTTGGCAGAATCTCATGGTCTAGTGAGAATGACGTCATCGGAAACACCCCGCTCATTAAAATTTTAATGAACGATTATCAAAAATCTTGACCATGCTTATTATGATAAAAATATCAAAAATAATGCAAAAAATAATTTATCCCTAAAACTACACATGTATACGATGAAATATATCTAGAAAATCCCAAAAAATGCAAATTTCTGCTCTGGTGATCACATTTTCCATAAGAGCTAATGTTAAAATTTTTTTTTTTTACATCACTTTTATTTTTGCGCGTAGGATGAGTTTTAAATGACTCTGGTCTATTGCGTCATCCTTGGTAAAATTGAAACAAACAAGACCGGGTGACCGTACATTTGAACCCATGTACATTTGAACCCATGCGTATATCCACGGGTTCAATCTATATGCGGGTGCTAAAACCCATGAGTTAGGGTTAGTATGGGTTTAACTATCCGTGAAACAAAAAAAATTCCATAGGTGCAATAGCATACAGGTGCAATTGTCATGGGTTCAAATGTACGTGGGTTCAAATGTAATGGAACCACAAGACCGAGCAACAGACCAAATGGTTTTCAACTGTTTTGAGAAAGAATGCAAAATTCGATTGTTATATGGGCTTGTGTTATGCTGTTTTTCTGTGCCAATCTGACCGTGTTCCATTGAATTTAATATTTCCCTATTAATCAAAGATGATATAATATTGGATTCAATAACCAAAAGAAAAAAATCTTTTAAAGCACAGTCATGTTACTGATATAAGTTCAAGTCGAATGCCCGCCCGCTTCATATCATGGCGGACTCCGAATGTTATCTTTTCTCATAATGGTTTAAATAAAAATATAATACGCAAATTCTGAGCAGAGAAATCTACGGTGAAATAGTTATCATGTTTATCACGCGTGAGTGGTAGTGAACGTCCCTCTTATGTCAGAAGGACAGGGTAGCATAGAAGATCAAGAACGCACTTTGTTTGTAACAAATATATGCTGGTGCGTTTCTCTTTTTGCTTAGACTCAAATTCTCTCGAGTTTTGCTTTATATCGATGCCAGTTATAGCACAAGAAAAATTCTCACTCCACGATAGAATCCATACTTTTCTAACGATCTCCCTTTGTTTGCTCATGGAGAATCCGAGCCGGTGTTAACTATCCACCGCGGAGTTGTCCAGGGATCAGTAATAGGGCCTTCATCTTTCTTGCTGTTGTAAACGATTGATTAGAATTAGAATTCCATAATACGCCGCAACA